CCCGCGCCGAGCCCCGCGCCGAGCCCCGCGCCGAGCCCCGCGCCGAGCCCCGCGCCGAGCCCCGCGCCGAGCCCCGCGCCGAGCCCCGCGCCGAGGAACAAGGAGTCGCGCTGCCCCCTCGCAAGCGCCGCCCGCCGCGCCCCGCTATTTGACAAAGCTCCCGGGGACAACGTGCGCCGTGGCGCGTGTTCCCGCAAGCTGCGCCTAGCCCGCCAAGTGCTCAGTCTCGGTTCGGAAACGGCGAAGTTGCAGGTTTAACGGCGGGCAGGGGTAACTTCTGAATTCACGCTTATTTAAGTATAATCAACATTAACTCTTGGCAGATCAAGAGGGCAATTCTTTTGGAAGCAAAGCCAAGCACATGCAAGCGGGGGTGTCCCAGCACACCTACACAGACACTCTCCTCACAGCTGAGAAAAGGTACTGTGACTTGTCGAGCCCCAGGCTTTATGAGAAAACAAGTCTTTCACTAAGATGATTATAGAGCAAAAAAGAAACTTGAAGTCATTAAGCAGTAAAGCTTGCCAGGAGGTACTGTTGACTGTTGTCCAATGGCTGGGTGCATAGGATAACTTATGGCAAAGAAGTTATATACAGAAGATGGGGGTATATAAAGCACTGTCACAAGAGAGGTTTGAGACTCCTCTGTGAGCCTCCTGCCAGAATCACCTGGTGGAGCCTGACTTTTCTCACACTGCTCACTTGCTGCGTCATCTCGTGTTTGTGCAAGGGACAAACAAGAACAGGGATGTGGCATATCGGGCCTCCACATAGGGAGGCATGGGCCGGGCAGAAGGCAGCCAGCAAGCCTAGCAGTGGAGCCACAGGCAATGTCTAGGGAGGCCGAGACACTGCTGCACTCTATTTAGTAGATGTTGGCGATATCCCTGATTTGCTGGGGGAATACAGAGCAAAAGTTAGAATGAGGACATCCCCTGCTCCTTGCATCAACTAGTGTAAGACAAATTGGCTGTTAGCAAAGTCAAGAAGAGTTTGAGACGCGCTCTAATGTTTTCCAGTTACAACACTGATCTAGCAGAGATGAAAACTCCTGTGGTAGCTTCTGCTCTAAGGAATATCTAATTATTTTGCACACACAATGCATCAGCATTTATTTTTCTTTCCTTCTTTGCCAGTTGGACTTGTATATAAACCTAGTAGTAAATCTAAGCCGAAGGCCTCATACCAACAGAAATTACACGCATCTCATTTCACTGGACAACTGGGCAGTGAGAAACCTCAAGTTCAACAAGGGCAAGCACAGGGTCCTGCACTTGGGGAGGAATAACCCCAGGCACCAGTACAGACTGGGGACTGACCTGGAGAACAGCTCTGTCAAGAGGGACCTGGGCCACATGGTAGACGATTAAGTTAACCGTGTGTGCCCTCGTGGCCAAGAAGGCCAATGGGATGCTGGGGCGCATTAAGAAAAGTGTCTCCAACAGGTCGAGAGAGGCGATCATCTCCCTCTATGCAGCCCTGCTGAGGCCACATCTGGAGTGAGACCACCACTGTGTCCAGTTCTGGGCTCCTCAGTACAAGAGGGATGTGGAGCTGCTGGAGAGAGTCCAGCGCAGGGCTACCAGGATGATCAGGGGCCTGGAACATCTGCCCTGTGAGCAAAGGCTGAGGGAGCTGGGCCTGTTCAGCCTGGAGAAGAGAAGGCCGAGGGGGGACCTGATCAGTGTCTATAAATACCTTGAGTAAGCAAGGAGGATGGGGCCGGCCTCTTTTCAGTGGTGGCCACTGATAGAACTAGAAGAAACAGCCACAAACCGAAGCAGCAAAAGTTCCACAGGAACTTAAGGAAAAATTTCTTGACATGGAGGGTGACAAAGCCCTGCAACACACTGCACAGGGAGGTTGTGGAGTCGTCATCTTTGGAGTTCTTCAAAACTCGCCTGGATGCAGGCCTTTGCCACGTGCTCTAGGTGACTCTGCCTGTGCAGGGAGGTTGGACTAGATGATCTCTAGAGGTCCGTTCCAACCTTAAGCATTCTATCATTTTATGCACTCAAACACATCTACATCTTTAATATAAAGATTTGGAACTTAATCATAGTTACTATGTAGTATTTCCTAGAAAACAAAGCTGTTGAGAGTAATAAATGATTCTATAGATTTTTTTTTCCCCCCCATGGGCATTTGTCTCAGATATAGACCAAATACATCTACGAGAAGATAACGATGAACTTGATAATAATCAGTTTTGTATTTGCATTCCTCACTGTATTTTATACAGGGTTTTTATAATGATGCTGTTCTATAAGCATATTGCCACCTGTAGCAGACCCTGTTGCTTTACTTTGTTTACTCTAATTTTCCTACAAGTTTTAATTAGAGAAGTTCAAAAGTAAATGCTATTTCTGGTAAATTATATTTGTATGTGTATACATACAAAATATATGTGTATGCATATATACAATGCATGATGGAATAAGCTGGCATGGAGGTTGTAGGGTTTCTGCTATTAAATATATTGTGATTGTAAAACAGTCTAATAGAAAAGTTAAAATTCTTATTTATCCACCACTGATATAAACATATACACATATATCAATAGATTAAAACTCAAAAGCTTTGCTTTCTTTTAAATCAATTGATTTAGGATGCTATTAAATAGAAGAAAAGAATCGGCCACAAGCTGAAGCACCAAAAGTTCCACAGGAACTTAAGAAAACATTTCTTGACAGTGAGGGTGACAGAGCCCTGGCACAGGCTGCCCAGGGAGGTTGTGGAGTCTCCTTCTTTGGAGATCTTTAAAATCCACTTGGCCGCAGCCCTGTGCCCCGTGCTGGGTGACCTGCATGAGCAGGGAGGTTGGACTAGATGGCCTCTGAGGTCCCTGCCAACCTTAAGCATTCTATGATTCTATGAATCCACTATAGTAAGATGCCATTCATATCATATAACCTTTATAAAATGAATAAACTGGAGAGCCAATTAAAAATGAAAAAAGAAACTGAAAAACTGAAGCCAAATGGAGCTTGGAATTGTATCAGCCTTCAAGATAGCCAAATATCATCTTAATATTTAATTTCAATTTTGACTCAACAAAAACATTTTTTTCCAACATACTTCATGTAACTTGTTTCTTGGCTTCATCACTTTTTGTTGGAAAACGGGATATTCCTGAAGCATTTTTTACATTTTTAACCAGTGCCACAGGGCCATGAAGGAGATGCACTTTGAAGAACTCCCTCTCCCATGCTCTGCATAAGTGATCCTAACAAATCTGCTTTGTGAAATCTCTGAATCTGGAGTAGAGTCGCTCATTCATCATGATCTTTCAATGATTCTAACAAAACAGCCTCTTTTTTTTTTTTGCTAACTCAAGTAAGCTACTGCTGTCCAAACGATTATTTGAATGAAAACTGGGACCAGAAACAGCTAACTTTTTTTTTCTGCCTACCTTTGAGTGTTGAGAGTGGCGTATCGGTATCTTCTCCATGGAGAAAGTAAAAACTGCGTGCACCTCTGGACCAGTCACGTTTACTTTTTAAGTGTATCCCTGCAGCAATAATGTCTCATATAAAGTCTTCTACTCAGCAAGTAAGAAAACTGTTTATCGATTATGAGGAAACACATTATGTTGCCTTTCATGATCTAAAAAGCAGTTCCATCTTCTAGACAGTGCTCCAACAAGCTCTTTGGCACACAAGTGCCTGTATCTGTTGCAATATGGTCTGACAATGAGCAAGGTTCAGGTTGGATTTATTTTTTCACTTTCTGAAATAATTTCCATTAAAGATTCATAATCAGCATATTCTCTCAGGGACTGTATCATTTCATCTAGCATGTCTTCCCCTAACATGAAGCATTCAATATGATGCACAGATCTGCTTATCCTGTGGTCAGTAATCCGGTCCTGCGGAAAGTTGTATGTTCTGATCTTCTCCGATCTTCCTTTAGTGCCAATCTGTCACACAAAAAGAAGCGGTTTATGATCACATTCTTTTTATACAAAGAATGAATTATGGGTTAGGCATCTGAAGGCAAATCTTTCTCTTCCTTCCACAAATATATAAAAGCCTAAGACCAGCTCTCTAGTTACAGTAATTGTGGTTATGTATCTAAAAGAACAATTTTACTACGTCTTCTGTAATACTGTTCTGGTTATTCAAGTTCCAATCCAGTTTGTTTCACTAGGCTGCTATAACTTCTATTCTGCTGATCTATACTGCTGACCCAGATTATAATTTGTCTCATACAAGTCCTTTCAGAACTTCTGTTCCACTACAGTTCCATTTCCTGCTTGCAGTAGAACAAAAGAGCTACCCCTTACGCATGTACATAACATGTTAACATACAAAGTTAAGTCTTTGCAAAGTGAAACTTACCTGAACCTTTCGGGCACTGTTTCGCTTTTTGTTTTCTTCTTCCATTTTGAGACTGTATAATTTGGCAGAAAGCATTTGCATAGCCTTCTCTTTGTTTCTTATTTGAGACCTTTCTTGCTGACATTCAGATACGATCCCTGGAAAAAAAAATATCATGAGACTTAACACTTAATAGTCACGCATACAAAAAAGGTTTCACAAATTCTGTAAGATTTTTATTAAAGATTAAAATAAACAGCTTTTTTCTTCAACACATATTTTGGAGACTGGGAATGTAAAAGTGCCAGCTTGTTTATATCTAAAAACAGAGCTTGGAGGATAGGCGACAGCTCTTGTACAGTTCTTGTAAGCCATAAGAAAAAATATCTAATTGGATATGTAACAACAAAATAAACTCTACATGAGGCGATCTAAATGTGTCTTCTGCCAGAAGAATGTTTTAACGTCAGTAACTTTCAATCACAATTCAAGTAAAATTAGCAGTTAAGAAGCAGTATCATGCACTAGACAATAAGTATACAGAATATGATCAGACTATACAAAAAACGGGCAATATGTTCTTCAGAAGAGGCATGCATTCTCCTTGCCAAGAAACTAAGAAAACAAGATGGAAAAGAAATACAGCAAAAAGATAGCACAGATTAAATAGCCATTTGGATTTACTGTAAGTAGCTCCGGTAAGCTTACAGCATACTTATCTAAGTTTACATAATAATATGTGTATGAAATAGTTGTTTACAGACAAGTTTTTCTGTCAAAATGAAGGCCTGTGAAGAGAGTTAATGAGAGAAACAGAAGAGCACAGTTGTATAGAAATGGAGATGAAGCAATAGGAAAATGTCAAGAGATTTAAGGCAAAAAGTTCTCTGAATCATTCCAAATGCATAAACACAAAATCAAAAGATTATTACTACTATATTTTGAACAGAATTCTATCATTTCTACTGTTTACTTTCTATTTTATTGAGGTGATGCAACAAGTGTAGATTATTGACTTCTACAAATATGAAGTAATGGGTGGTAAAAATATGTGGAGGTAAAAGGATTCAAGATTACCTTGAGGTTAGGGTAAACCCTAAAACCCTAATATTTTTGGTATAGACAACCAAAAAAGCAATGAAAGTCAAGGTAGCTGTTGTGGATTGCTCAGAAGGAAGTAAAAGGTTTTAAAATGGCAATAAAAAAAAAGATAGGATAGCTCTAATCTGAGGGTGTATCTTATACCACCTATATTTTCTAAACCTGGGCTCTGGGAATGGGCCTCCTAACTGTATCTGCAATGTATGGAAAGGCAGCCAGAAGAAAATAGAAGTTACAATACAGAAGAGACTCTGAAGTAGATAGAACCTAAAAGAACAGTTTAAGATGGAAGTTCAGAGATTAATCAAGAGAAGTCAGGTCATCAGATGCTGACCTACTCTATTCCTTCAATTCTTTTTCCATTTTTCAAAGCTTAAGTGCAACTTTTTCACAGAAATTAATTGGATGCTTTTAGAGTATAATGCAAAATGAACAGCTTTTCTGCTGAAGTAGGTAGTAGTCACGGTTACAAATAAGGGGTGAGCTCAAAACACTGTCATTCGAATACTATGACTTTTTTGTATGTGCAAAAATGATCTGTTGTACTGTCATCCAGGTTGGAATACAAAAATAGTTGTATAAAACAGCTGTTTTCTAGAAAACAGAAAGCTCCGGATTCTGAGCTTTGCAAATGTCTTTTTTTGTGCGATTTTGGTTCATAATGAATAGCATGCACTACTCTCTTGATAGTCTCACCTGCAACTAAACACATAATCTTTTGTTCTGTGACGTATTATAAAGGTTAACAAAAGATAAATTGTAATAGAAAGATTTAGAAATTATTATTCTATATTTGATAGTTGTACCAGGACTTTAGTCTTGATTTCTGACAGGCAGTTAAATTAGTCATATACTTAAAAGAAGAACTAGACAATTTTTGACAATTTTTTGGTAATTTTGTGTCACGGAGATTTAGAAACTATCAATTACATTTATAAATAGGTTAAGTGAAGCGCTGTTTCATCCAGCCCATTGCAGATAGTTTGTTTGGTATTTCTTACAATGAAATTCAACGAGTCGCAAACATACAAAGATCACAGAATCATAGAATCGTTATGGTTGGAAAAGGCCTTTGAGATCACCAAGTCCAACCCTCAGCCCCTCAACACCATGCCTGTTAATTCATGTCCCTAAGTGCCTCATCTACACACTTCTTGAACACCACTAGGGATGGTGACTCTACCACTTCCCTGGGCAGCCTGCTCCAATGCTTCACTACTGTTTCCATGTACAAATTTTTCCTAAGGTCCAACCTTAACCTGCCCTGGCGCAAACTGAGACCATGCTTGTAGATTTTTTGATTTCTTGGTAAGCAAAATACTGCATGGCAATTATGACAGCAGTTCTAAAATGAAGATGGTGTGCTAAAGGAAAAAATTAAGCTACCTGTTGGAATATGAACTATCCGTACAGCGCTGTCTGTGGTATTGACATGCTGGCCACCAGCTCCACTAGCTCGCTTAGTGTCTATTCGTAGATCTTTTGGATTAATTTTCAGCCTCATCTGTTGTGGGAGACAGAAGAAAAAAGAACATACTTATGTTCTTTCTTTCAAATATGCATATCGGCTTTATTTTATAAAGCCCATTCAATCTACTTTATTTTATAAAGCCCATTCAATCTACTCAACATTATTATTTTCATAAACATTTTTTTTTTTTTAATGGAGTGGTAGTTCAGAGCCACTTATAACAAATATATCTTTGTAAGCAGACTGGAACGCAACAGGGTGGAAGCAGGGAAGTCAAAAAGTAATGTCCATCTTTCCTCTCTTGAGAAAGTTTTGCACTTCCTCACAGCAGAGTTAACTAGTATTTGAACTTGGCAAGATGAGTTTTAGCTAAAATGGAACATATTCTGGAACCTGTAAAGGAGTGACATCTTCTGTGAGGAAGGACTTGGGATAACTGGCGAGGAGGGGAAGGAACAACATACTCAACAGTTCTCAACCAAAGGCAAAAAAAAAACTAAAAAGAAGAAAACCACCAGCTCTGATTTCCAGCTGTTTTTAATGAAGCACATACAGTAAGAAAATAGATTTTAGAAAAGTAAAATGTGAATACTATAAAAATGGGGAAAAGTGGGTATTAGTATTGATTTCTAAACCAATTCTACGAGGTATCTAAGTTGTAAGTTAATTGCCAGCGATTTTTCTTTTATCCGAGGTATATCAATTATACTAAAGTGCAAATAATACCTTGGTGGGTTGGGGTAATATTGCAACAGTCATGGTGCTGGTGTGAATGCGTCCTTGCTTTTCCGTCTTTGGCACCCGCTGAACACGATGCACTCCTCCTTCAAATTTCATGCGTTTGTAGGCATCAAGACCAGCTATACTGGCAACTGCATGCCTTAAGCCACCTTAAAAACAAAAGAAAACAGTTGGAAAGCTGTAAAAAACTGTTGGTGCTATGCTATCATAATTCTAGCATTCTATGTAGACATCACTGTCGCTTGTTTTTTAAATAATGAATTTGCCATTTAAATGCTTAGTCAGAATTACATCCAAAATGAAAGAAAATTCTAAACAAAAACATACATACTCATACAGTCTCTGAAATAAAGGGCTGCCAAATTAAATTAACAGAAGCAAGTTTAACTTAGCTATATATGTAAAAAGATTGTTTTATGAGCCATGAAACTATGTACCTAAACTTACAATCATCCAGCACTAGTAGAACTAACACCAGCAGGAAGTTTGCATACAGACCAAATTTTGAAAGCCACCTTCAAAAATCTTTTTTTTTTTTTTTTTATTGTTAGTTCAGAACATGACCATATTTAGTAACATTAAAACCTTTCAAAAGTTTTTTTTTTTTTCAGAAAAAAAGGTTCTTTCAAAAAAAAAAAAACAGAAATTTTAACCTAAGGATGACCATTACTTATACTTGTTGTTTTTCCCCAGTCTCCTCTCATTTGCTCTTCCTTTGCTTTTTAAACCAGATTAGTTCCTTGATCCAGTTCTCAGTACAGTGGCTGGTGCCCAATGAGAACAATCAAACAGCTAAAACCATGAGAGAGTGTTGCTATTGAACTCTTGCAACATATAACTAGGAAAACTGGAGGCACATAATTCTCTGAAATACTGTTTAGGCTGTGTACTAAGAAAGCATCACTGCATCAACAGTCTTGTACCACATGGACAAGGTAACAGCTTTTAAAAATGAAAATGAAGATAACACAGAATCTGAAAAAGGCAGCGAGAGCACAAGAAAATCGTCAGGATGCAAGACTGATTTTTCACCTCTACTGAGCACATTTACATATATTTTTGTTCAACTTAATATTCTCCAAAACTTTACTAAAACTTACTTTAAGGTCAAACTTCTGGAAAACAGCCTATATTTCTTTTTACTTCCTTTCTCTTCCATCTCATTTTTGATCTTGTGATTTTAAATTTTTTTTCCTACTTGTACAACTCTCTACTGCTTTGATTCAAAAGCAATGCTCAACACACCTAATGCTTCAGTGGTTTAATTTATAGCCATTGTCTACGTTTAATTCTGTAAGATTAATGTATCACATGTAGCATAAGCATGACCACAAAGCAGGTATTTTAACAAGTAAGAATATCTGCCAACATCTGCATTTTAAATCATGACATTTCATCCCGAGAACTACTGTAAAATTTTTCTAATATCATACAAACACCTTTCAAATGAACAAAAACATTCTTATAAATCCTGAAATAATTTATGCAGTTGACTACGCTTAGTATTGAAACATAATTACTCCTTTATATATAAAAGTACTGGGGAAAAAAAAGAAAAAACATAATAAGCAACCTCTGCACAACCCAAGGACGTGCAGGCAGTGTCAGAGTAAAAATAATGTCAATGTCCACAATGCTATGGCACTATTAACAAGTATTCATTATGAAATAGGTAGTTCATAGCAACAGCTAATGTTCTGCCTCTTCTCTCTCCCTTATCCTGGCACTGACATATATCACGGTACATTCCGTCTTTTGAGCTGCAGCCAAATCTGTCACACACTTGAGATAATTTCAAATTGTAGTGATTATGGTGTGTCTATATGTGTGTCAATGGTACTTAGCACAAAACATCCAAGAAATTTGTTTAAATGACATATAGCTAGGACATACCGTTTCAGAGATACGTTTACCAGCCTATATAGTAATTTCAGCATTAGTATGAAATGCTGAAATCCAATAAAATGGACACAAACCTTTTACCAAAAGGTTTTTACATATCATAAACCTGTCAAGCAGATCTGTTTTGCTGATGCCAAATGTAGCTCTGCCTTTTTCAAAGAAAATATTTTTTCTGTCCTGACAACCTGATGGGCACAGATTGAGGTGTGAGTTTGCACTCTCATGTTTTCATGTGACAGTTTACATCCAGACAGAAACAAGCAGGTCTGCATACCACCATAAGGCTGGAAGTAGTGCATAAACAGTGATGTAGATTTGTGTTTAATATACATCTTAACTCTTGATTGTGTTACTTCGCACAAAGATATTATTCGAGGCAAAACAATAACATCATTTAAGTGACCACAACTGATCCTTATTTCTCATTCCCTATAACTGCTTCCTATTTATAGCTTTGCTTAATACCCATTTGGCCTGCACATGCTCCTGTTCAGCTGTTAGTTGAATTCTGGAGATCTCTGAAGCATAGAAGCTTGATTTTTTTAAACACAGGATCATGACTTTATTTTGCGCATGCAGTTATTAAAAAAAAAAAAAAAAAAGGGTGGATGGGACACAACAGCCTGGCATCACCAGCAGATATCCTTAACTCATATTTTCCTAAACACAGGAAAGTTGCTTTGGACCTTAGGGTTCAGTTTAGAAAATGTCTTTCAGTGGAATTGCTTCCCAAAGTCCCCCTACCTCTCAACTTATTTCCAGTTCCACAATTCTTGATAATATGTAGACACACAAGTGAATAAAATTAGAAAATACACTGCAGGAGGTACACAAAGGATAGAGCTGCCTTTATTTGCCTCTATATTGACACTGTAGCTTCCTAAACTTCCAATTTCATTACACAGGCAAGCAATTAGCAAGATAAAAGTTTACAATAGATACGTATTGACTCAGAAAGCAAGAGTTTCAAAAGGAAAATATGACCAGATGCCAACTAGGTATTACTCCAGGTATTACTCCAATTTAAGCTATGAAATGCATCCGAGGCTGTGAGTTCACTGTCCAAGAATGAGCTTCCACCAAAAACTTAGGTGGACCACACTACATTCTTTCCCTTGCAACCACAGAACTGCAAATTCAATCATGACTTAAAACTATCCAATAGACAGATTTCAAGCCAAATTAGCTGATTGATCCATTAGCCCCACGGTCTCAAAATCACTAGAGCTGAAAGGAACAAGAGAATGGCAACTGGGGACACTGAAACTGCCCTGAAGCTGACTGAGAAGCTACACTCTGGAAGCTGAAGTTGTATGTGACAGCTGTGTTCAGCTCATCTATAATTCACTGGAGAGGCTGCCATTCCTTCCCTCTCCACATGTTGACACACAAAACTGAGAGGACTCAGCCTCTTCTTCATAAACCATTTACACTTATCCAACCTTACTATGTTAATTCAATTTACTAAAACGTTAATATTGGCTTAAAGGCTGAAGAGGCTCAGCTTCTGCATATGTTTGCCTAGTCATAAATAAGGATAAACAAGACTTTCCCCTTTTGACACTGAGCTGTGCTGTAACTTCATCATGTCTCTATCTTCACTTACACTGTGCAAACAGTTTACCTAAATGACCTCTTGACCATAAAAAAGTTTACTGGTGATACCAAGTCTACATAGTTGACAGGAAATTCAATTCACAAAATTTAAAAGTGTATTAATCAAATTAATAGCAACTGCTCTAGAAGGAGATTTTGAAATAGTGAGACCCCTCTAATTCAAATAGTTGAATATGAATAGTTACTGCTAAGAAAAAAATCTAAAGGTGGCTACTGTTTAAACAAACTTTCCACACTTGCATATATAACTTCTGTGAGATTCTATTATGAGTTTTAAGAACACCGAAATGCAAGTGAAATCCATATTAAATTATAATCATTAACTTTATCTTAAATTTATAATCACTGAAAAATCAGTTGGCCTGCCAAAAGTGTATCTGTATAAGGCAACAGGTGAATAAAGGGGCCCCCTTTTTTATGAAGTATGAATACAGACAGCAAATCAAGCTTGTACTTAAATTTTTAAGTTGTGAAGTTCTAATATTCTATTGTATTGCCCCATCCATACAAATTTTTGAACATTATCCTCATCCTCAATATGTGACATGAGCTGTACTATGTCAAGAAAGGTCTTAAGGTACGCGACTGAAAGATCCTCACTAGAAGTGAACATACAGCTCAATGACAACAGAAGTTTTGTTAGCAGAATTGTGAATTTTTTTTGTGTGGATTTCTAAAGAATAGAAATAGCAGAGATTCAAAATGTCTGAAAGCACCATTAAGTCCAAAATATGGACCAAGTAAACAGATGTGTTATGTGTTTCCTATATCTCTAAGCTTGCTAAAATCTGTCTGCAAATGGTTCATGATTTGCCTCATTAATTAGAAAAACAGCTATCCCAGGCATAAAAAGGATCATCTTTGCCAGTCTGAGTGAAAGGACATCAGAATAGATACAAGAAAATGTTCAGACAGGTACAAAGGAAGGAAGAGGGAAGAAAGAAAAAGAAAACTAGACTGAGAATAGTTTTGCTTCTACAGTTTTCCTGTCTCTGCCAAGAAACCCTGAAAAATGGACCTACCACCAAACTGATCCATAAGTTACCAAGTAACTAAACAGAACAAAATAAACGTATCTAACCTGTTTTTACACAAAAAACCTGTTTGTCTCACTTTCCTCAATCCAAAGAGTTTCATTTCTACTTTTCTAAAAGACTTTTTTTTTTGTATTTTAGCATCTAGCAGTACTTTTCAAGTGAAATTCCATTTTCAAATATAAAAACTGCAGAAAACTGTTCATAAATTCAAATAATCTTGGATTCTTAAACAGATTAGTGGAAAAACAGTCTCCTGTGGACATAGACAAGAAACTCTAGTGTCATACGAGTTAAATGTTTCAATTGAGATTAAAATCACAAATATTAAGTATTTTCACTACTGACCTAGTTCACTGGGAAAGTATTCTAGTATTTCAAATCTCCACTTTCTATAGGCAGCATATCGTTGATACATATTAAATATCTCTGAAGTGAACAACATGGCTTCCTGTCCTCCAACTCCAGCAGTTACTTCCATGACAAGATCACTGTTGTCTGTTTCTTCTGAAGGAATCAAAAGCAATACTATCTGTGAATACAAAAATATACATCTAAGATTTCAATGAGATATCACAATCCACTACCAAGAGGAAAAGCCATGTAAGATGAAATCTTATCGAAGTCTGTAATCATTCTAGGTGGCATTCTGCAGTATCTCACTGATTTTCCAGAGAACTAGGTTCTCATGGCTTTCTGATGCCTGTTGCATTAATACATTGTCAGGAAGAGGGAGGAGGGATGCTGCTCCTCATGTCTTTTCACAGTGATGGAAATTTTCATTCAAGACCTATAAAACTCTACAGAACAGGGGCACTGTACAAGTGTACCACATTTTACATCATAGGATTCACACTAATGCTTGCAAAAAAAAAATCCTGTATGTCTCCCTTCACATTAGATTTCCTTTTAACCCCATCTCAGCTCAGGAATGAAGAAGGTGTGTGTGTGTGTGTGTGTGTGTGTGTGTGTGTGTGTGTGTGTGTGTGTGTGTGTGTGTGTATAAATATACGTATATATTTTTTTTTTCCAGGATTGTATTCCTTCAAAAAGAATTCAGCAGTAAATATTATTATTAATTCTTTTTAATGAGAGGTGGCTTTATATTAATCTGCAGAACTGAAAAATCCAGCAGAATATTAGAATCCCAATAACGTTATAGGCTACATCTGATTTTGGATGATTTGTAAATGTCTATCTTTACTAGCAATAAGCAAAATCTATTTATACAGATTTCTCTTTCTCCTTCTGTTATTTTTTTTCATATATATTAACAAAAATATACAATTTCTGTCTTATTGTTGCTGAATGAATAAAAGATGTGAAAATATGGTCTTCTTCACCAACAGTAAAACCAGGAAACTGGTAACAAAGTGTTTATGCAAAGAGAAGTCTTCTGACACAAAGTATCATAGATACTATGTAGAACCTAAATAAAGTAGCAGGTCTGAAACTGGATACATAGTCTTTCTCAAACCATTTGTGTCTGATACTATACAGGGGTTCAACATTACCAATAGCTGAGCAGTAGACACCCACAAACATATACTAAGACAAAGCAAACTACAGAACTTATCCACCAATTTTTATCGGTTCAAAGGATTTTCAGATGCACGTAGGCATCCATAGACTGGAATATATTCAGATTGCATTTTTCATTTTCCTTAAGCCATGGGCAGTGGTTAAAGACTACAGTTGAGTAGGAGAAGAAATGAAAGAGGTATACATGCACAATCACATATACCTTATTTTGCTGAGAAGACAATCTGGCATTGCATATTTAAGAATGACAGGGCAGCAAAGGCTTTTCAAAGGACTCTAACCTGGTGTTTCAGTTCAGCTATCTCTTCTTGACAGGAAATGACTTCCCGTTCAGCAAGCTTCCGCAAATCTTCACTTTCATCTGAAATAATTCAGTATGGTTAATCATCAGACTTAAAATCATTGACACTCTCAGAAAACCTTCTGAAAAATATTATATGAGACAACTACTCTGTTATCAAATAAAAAGCACACTAAATATGTAAAAGCACACGAAATATGTAAGGGATAAAAAAAAATGATCTGCAAAGAACAGTATTTGCTAAGAGTATTTTCTGATGTTCAAGTAACAGGCATGGGATGCCCGAGTACAGGACATTTCCACTAAATATAAACAAAAACAAAGGCTTTTTACTGTGAAGATGTCTGACCACGTAGGTTAGGCCTGTTAGGTACAGGCTAACCAAAACAGTTATGGAGACTCCCACTTCAGAGATATCAAAAAACTGACTGGACAAGGTGCTGAGTAACCTGCGCTGGCTGGCACTGCCCTGAGCAGGGGAACTGGAGAATCTCCACATCTCCCTTCCCAGCTCAGGCATGCTCTGATTCCACAAAGTTACCTCCTGTTTTCCAATGTGGTAGGAATATCAAAGGTTTTAAGAGCACAGAAGCCCCATAACTGATGCTTTTTCTTAAAAAGGACTGCTTTACTTCTGTCAAGTTAACCCAGAACAGCTGCATAACTTCTAACGTATCTCATCATTAAAAACAAAGGTATGAAAAACAGTTGTATAATAAGAGGAAACTGATGTTTTTAAAGTGTTACTTGACTGATCAACTCTAGCACTTTATTACAGCTGTTTTTCTATGCTACAGTTTTAACACATTAAGCTCTTCCTTTTTTTTTCCCCGGCCATTTCATAGCCTTGGTAAAGCTTTAAAGAAACAAAAATCCTTATAGCGAGGCTGTAGATTCACATCCATTCTTCAGTTGCAGAATCAACTGAAGTCTCCTATCTGCATTGATTCAGCTCGTTTTCCCAGAAGAAAGAGCAACCTCCACAAGGAGAAAATGTCACTAAGAAAATGACACTACTGCACAGCCAACCTGGGAGCACGTCAAGCTTGGACATGAGCTTGGCTGAGACAGGTGGTTCAGCCTCAGGGTAGGCACATACTTTTTCAGCATTGTAGCTGTAACTAGGCTCTAACAATTGTAAAGGCAATTTTGACTTTATAGATCAGGTTTAATACTGATGAATTAAACAATTTTTTTTTTCAACTAACTCAAGAAGGAGGAAGCTGAAAATATAACAGCACGTGCACGCATAGTTGAACAGCCATAGACAAATCTCCATGCTTAAAATGTTATCTGTAACCCTGCCTACACTTTAAGAATAACTAGTGATAGATTAAGGGCTAGTCATTAATATATGGCATATAGCAAAAAATTACAAATTTAATACAGTCAAACCATATAGCAATGATGTATCTTTTAAGACATAGACCATTTAATTGCACTTGCTGATTCTAAGGTGCAAACATAGACTTAAAATCAGTTACACATTAAAAATATTTTAAAGGATAAGCTACAGAAGTGCTCAAAGTTACTATTGTACAAGCACTTGCAATCACTTCTAAATCAGGCAGCAGTAGCTTCTTCAGCAAGTTCTGCAAGGAGAAGAAAGGAAAACCTTCACCAATATTGACCTAATTCAGGTCATTGATTAGTTTTCCTTCCCCCCCCCCTTCAGAGATTGATTGACTTCTGAATTACCAACCACTGTTAATGCTGCTTTATTTAATCAATATTTAATGAAACAATAAATAATGACTTAGGGATTATTTAATATTCTAGGGAATGTTTACTAGCCTGTGTCATTTTTAACCACATTTTGATATTGACTTTCAAAATGCAGCCTGATGCAAGGTTAAAAAAAAAAAAAAAAAGAATATTCACTGTGTGCTAGAAGATCATTGCTTGCACCACAATATAAAGTTAAATTATGGTAGGCAGCATAAGTATTTACAACACATTATGGCTTCTTAAATAAATAAGCAGGTTAGTGGTCTTTCTTCAGAGTAATGAGTAAAGAAAATATCTGCAGCCAACAAGCAATAAAAGAAAAAAAAAAGTTTTTATATCCTAACAGGATTATTCTGGCTTTATGCAAAAGCCATGTTGATTCTGCTCTTCCTTCAATGGCAATGGTTTCCATCTGTCTCCATAATATCTTTTTCTCTCTATAGATGAATCTTACCTGCTCACCCTACTCCTCACCTCCATATTTATTTGCATATTTTCCTTAGCTCATGATTTTTCCTGACTTTGCTAGTGAGACATAAGAGGAAACTGCCCTGAATTTTAGCTTTTCTCATCTCCCTGAGAAGCGACGGGAACAAGGTCACGTACTGCCAGAGGAAACGCAGCCTCCTCAGGCCCTTATAAGGCCCCCTACGTTTAACCGTCATTTCAACGGTAACGTCCCCGTTCCGCGCACGCGCAACGGCCCTGAAGGTGCCGCACAGGTGAGTGGCGCCACGTGGCCGCTCATGCCCCTCCTCCGGGGCTCTCCTCCAATCACAATGACCTATGCAAATTAGCCCCTCCCCTCCCTCATGCCCGCCCAGCCGAGGAGGCCCCGCGCCAGCGCGGGCTTTCCGGTCCTTGCACCCCGCCCTGTCGAGCCCACGCGGGACTGGGCCGGCTCGGCTCGGCTCACCTCACCTTACCTTGCCGCGCCAGCTCCTGCGTGTCGCGCAGCTCTCGCTCCTTGTCGTGCAGCCGCCGGATCCGCGCCGCCAGCTCGGACCCCGCCCCGGCGCCGCCCCGCGCCCTCTCCTCCAGGAGGCGGCGCACGGACGGCGCGGCGAACAGCTCGTCCAGGCGAGGCCCGGCGCTAAGCGGGCGGCGCGGCGGTAGCGGCCATGGCCACCGCGCCGCGCGGCGCAGGGCCCGCGGGAGAAGCCACATGCGGCAGCCGGGCCCGCCGCGCCAGCCTCCGCTGCCGCGCCGGAGAGAGCCGAGCGCGATCGCTTCCCTCCGCCGCGCCTACGGAAGCTGCCGAAGGGGCTCGGCTCCCTCTTCGGAAAGAGTCGGAAAGGATCGGGGCTTCATCGGCAGCTTCCGGAAACAAACGAAGGGGTTCGGCTGATGCCGGCGCAGCGGTTGGCGGCCCTCAGCCGGGCGGCGCCCTGATTGGCCAGAGGCAACGGGGCGGGAATGACGGGGCGGGCGGGGCGCGCGGGTAGCGCTGCGCGTGAGGTGGGCCGGGGCGGGGCGCGTGCGCCGTGGGGAGGCCTAGAGAGGCCCCACCCGTCAAAATCGAAAAACGTTTTTTTGGTAACCACAGGGGAAAACATAGATAGATAGATACATACATAGATACATACATACATACATATATACATACATACATACATAGAGCCCTCAAGAGATCCTTCATGGTCCTGATGAGGTTTTAAACCTCACCGGAGGTTTAAAAAAGGCTTCCTGGTGAAAGAGCCCCCCATGGGTGCTGAGGTTTTTACTGTTAATTTCCTTCTTCCTGTGGAAGCTGTAAATACTTGTGAAAGTGTGTGTGCATATGATGCGTTCTGCATTGGAAACATGGGGAAAAATATGTAGGGAAAAAAAAAAAGACTGAAAGACCACCTATTTCTGAAATTTGAGTCATCTGGGTACAATTTCTGGAATTTCTCAAAATTTTAAGGTGGAATGAAATGAAGGTTGAGTTACTTGTTTAATAAAGGCGGTGTGATAAATACTGTGGGATGTTCTTGACAAACCACCTCCGGTATCCAGACAGCTTGGCATGCCAGCTTCCTTTTGGATAGCATAAGTAGTAAGATTCTTGGCTGAACTCAAAGCATAGTTTAAAAATATACTTTATTATAAAAATGTACAACTATCCGTAAAATTATACTAAACAATACATTGTATTACAGTCATCCAAGGAATTAGTCAAGTGTTTGCCATTCTTCTTTTCTTGTCTTAACATAACTGGATAATACTCTACAGCTAAATTAACATACACTGGTGGAATAAAAGTAACTTTGCTCATGTATTAAATAAGCAAATTGTCTGTTTCATAAGTGGCATGTCGAAAGTCAGGTCTTGATTGCTTATACATCCAAATTGATTGAGTATTTGGAAGTTAAACCTTTGGGTTTACAAAATAGAACATAGTAGTTCTGTTCAACATGAGAATATATTGTTTGAAGTATTGAATATTAAAAGGAATGTTTGAATAAAAACATTGCAAGTGCAGTACTTTGGGCAATAGTCACTGACAAAAAAAAAACAGTAAAATAAAATTACACTTAGAGGTCTATGTGGAGTTTTGGTTTTTATTTATTTTTTTGCAGCTAGTCTGGCATTGTTAAAAATTCTAGAGCAGTGTTTATCAAATCTTATTCCCTGAAAGCTTTCCTTAGACTCACTGCTACCTACTTGTCCATGAAGTTCACTAAAGAATGATGGATGATGTAGTATATCTTTTTTTTTTTTTTTTTTTTTCAAAAGAGTAGAAAGAAAATTGAATTCACACTGACTGTCAGCCTTTGAATCCCGTGAATTATTCCTGTCTTAAACTGGAAGGATGGGTTCACACAGACTGACAGTTTATGGTTAACAGAAGGGGCAAAATTTGGCCTTTGGCATAAAGTTAATGTAATTACTTCCCCAAAGTGCAGATGGTGCTAATGGCAGCTGGTTTTGGCAGCAGTACTGCCTTGCTCTTTCGTCCCACAGAGGTGGGATCACTACTGCTGACAGAAGTATTCAGGACACATGTGAAAGAACTTGAAGTTTTGTCACTGCAAGCGAACTCAGGCTGTGGGTGAATGGGATGAGAGCATTGTCGCTGCAGGCCCCAGGAGGCTCTAGAGCCCTGCTCTTGCCTGTCTCCAAAAAATGACATTAGGGGTTGAGGAAAACCTTGTTTGAGGATGATAGTCAGGCATGGTTTCAGTCAACTCAGGACAGATGTTGCAGCTGTCTGTGTACATGCAAACTTCATTTTTTTGCCTTGTTGCATTTGGTAGGGACTCAGACCGTTGTTGGATATTTTATTAGTTAGTTGGGTATTTACCCACAGATACTGGCAGGGTGAACTTGATTGCTAGTGGTATAGGGAGTGACTGAAATTTAGAGACTTTTTACTTTCAGCTTGATTGGTTTTGAGTCAGTATTGTGGAGGACATATCCGAGATAGTTTTTGCAGGCACTTTGCAGGCACTTGCTATGCTTGCAGCAATATAAAAGTTGCTAGTTCCTTAGGGCTCACAGCATGGTCAGTCCGGCAACCTGCTCTCACAGAAGGAGCTTTGCACCCCTTTTGGATGCTCATTTCACAGGCAAACTCACCTTGTGCTCACATTTGACTCAAAGGGGAGAAAGTTTGGCATCACGTGGCAGTTTAACTTTCGGTTATTGAGCTTAAATGTATTTTGCGAGCACAACCTAGCAGACACTTATGCATGCTTCTTAAGGAAGAATAAAATTATTATTAGCTTAAGTATGATTTTTGTTAACTTTTATCATACAGATAGTTTGTGTGGATTGCAGTAATGCTCCAGCAAGCAGTGTTTGACCTGTGCACCTGGAAGCAGCACCACATTTGCACTGTGGTGGGCTCCCTTCTCCCGTTCTTATGGCGACAAGTTCCAGGATCTGCACTTCTCCACAGTCACTTGACTTTTTATTTTCCCCCCACCATGCCTTCATTTTCCTTCTTACCATATATGCCTTTATTCACATTTAAATATTCTCCATGTTATCTGTGGTTTTGTTTTATACCGGGTTTCCCAAACTACTATTAGTTCATTTATTTGCAAGCTAACAGTACACAGCTGAATTGAACACATGCTTAATAAAATATATATTCAGGTTCTTTGAAACCAAAAAGTCTTTGTATTCCCAAGTGCTCTGCCTGCTTGTGGATTAGGCCCTATTTCACCTGTAAATCTTATGCATCACTGAAAAAAAACACTGGACAAAAATAATGAAATAACAAAAACATAAGTCACTTCCTGTAATGTACTTACTATATGCATTCTCATGAAAAACTGAAATACAAGTTAAATGCAGACTTATTTTATTCCAGGCTATAGAATAGGTGTATTTAGGCAGTTTTTCAAAGTGTATTGTACACTGCATGCACAGTAAATCAGTTTAATAGCTTGACTTTTACATTTGGTGTTCAAAGAACTGTATGATAGGCAATGAGATCATGTTATGGTCTGATTTGTTGTCCATTTGGACCATATCCATTTATTTATAAAACTTTTGGGAAACACAAACTAATAAATGAAATGTATATGAATCATTTTAATATGAGCATTTGCTCTGAGAAATAAACTTCATAAAAGTTACATTCCATTTATAAATCTCTCCACGTAGAGAATTTAAGACAAGGAATTATGAACGTGATTTCATTGCAGTATTACACTGAAGACTGGTGTAATATTTGTCAAAATGATGTAACAGTTTCCAAGTACAGTTTTTGGAGTATTATGATAGAAAGAAATCAGGATAGTATTCTAGGGCTGATACATTTAGTTTTAATAAGATCCTTGAATGGATGACTTGTCTGTGTTGACAAGAGTTTGTATCTATCTGAAATATCTTATAAAGATAGCTCATGACTAGCAGGTCACCATCAAATATAGAGTCAACAATATTTAAGTCTACATTTGTAAAGACTTGCGCATGCAGTTTTGCCTCTTACACACTGTTTAGACGTGTGAATCAAACGTATTGATTGTGCCTCCAACACCAACAAACTTGAAATTACATAATGTAAATATATACATATCTGATGTTGTATATGTTTACCACAGTAAATATAATTGTAATCAAATACTAGACATATGTCAGATCATAGTTAAATTCCAATTAAGAAAAAAAGCATCTTTAAATTCATTATTCTAACAGTATTTCACAGTAGAAGGAGGCAGTCCTTTCTCACTGACTCTTCCCCCCTCTCCTCAAGGTTTGTAAACATCATAGCTATTATTCTATCAGTATTATAAGTAAATATTTTATTCATAGTGGTAAATAGCTAACCAACATGAATAAAGTTGTCATAACACAATAACACTTTCAGACAAAACAGGTATTTATTAAAAGAAACAATTATAAATATTTTGTCTTGCATTTTAAACTACATTTTCATAAATAACAATATTTAAAAGTGCTGAATATGGTAGGATAGTCAGCAACGCCACTGTAAACAGAATTGTTTTCCACTTCGCAGATTTTTTTAGATCCCATTTTGTCAAACACTACAACAGTTAAAATATTTGCATAGGGAATAGAGAATAGCCCTTTTAATCGTCTCCTGAATTCTATATAAATTACAAAACCAAATGAGTTTAAGAAAGAGTTTTCTAAATTGTTCGTATATATCCAAAAAAAGCACACAGGTTTCAAGTAAAAGGAATGATTAAAAAAATTCTCCAGACCTGCTATTTGAAGCATGTTCAATAAATTAAAAAAAAAAAGAGAGGTAGTAAAACAAAGGAAAAAAATAAGCCCCAGAAAATAAACTAAGACCTACATCCTGCCAGTTACCGTATAAAGGCAAAGCAGTCTCAGGACCAGGGACTTCAACAGGAGCTGGCAGAGACTGGTTGCGAGGAGTAACTCGCTGGTTGGCGCCAACTACGATGGGGCTAGATTCCCCTCAATTACACGTTTTTAAAAGTGTTCATCCCCACCAACACCGGTGAGGCCATGCTGTATTTAGTCCTATGTAAGTGCGAAGAACCTCGCCTCTTGAGCCTTAGTATAAGACCAGAGTTACCAGTATTAAATATACATACATACATACATACATATATATATTTAATTTGTATTCAAAGCCATTTTATGATGTATCTTTAACAACCTGTGAGGGATGCTAACACACAATTTTCTTACATTTGATAGGAATGATTTTTTTTTTTTTTTAAGTTCCAAGTTACTGTCTCTTTAAACATCAAAATGCATTCTAAAATTGGACGTATCTTGATAAAAAGGCCAAGCAAACATCTATTAAAAACACCATGGCAGCAAAGTGATTTGAGGATGTGCTGCCTTAGCTCTGACTAAGGGCTCAGTACAGGATTCTTTACCCAGGAAAGCTGCTGTGGGCATTTTGCTTGGGTAAGGACTGTAGGTTTAAGAGCCCTTGAAGTTTGGTTTAATATTACTCTCCAAAGCCCCCTTTTTTCAAGGAGTTATTCAAAATCAATGAGGCTAGAAGCAGAGGTGAGTCTTTACTGACTCACCATCTCATAAAACACTACTTTGTTTAAAAACATATTTCACTGTATTTAGTTTTCAGAAAAAAAGAAAATCTTACAGGACAGATGCAATTCATCAAAATGTTCTAAAATGCTCTAAAATGCTACATGTAGGCAATCTTTATTAAACTTCTTTATTCAAAAACTAAATTATCAAGCTTTTTTGTGTTTTTATGTGGTTTTTTTTCTGAAGTACATAACATTATACAACAGTGTTAGAACTGGATAGCCAGTCTTTAATAAATCAATTACAGTATCTGACATCAGAAATGTACATTGAAAATCTTTGTTCTTTTAACAATTAAACAATATCAGCGCATAGATTGTGTCACTAATCCCTTTAAGTGGTTTGTGCTTTTTTTTTTTCTTTTTCCTTTTTTGACATTGCAAACTCTGTAATGAAAATGCCACAGTTTTGGCAGTGAGCAACCAGAGGAATCCCTCACTTGTTTTATTTTAAATAAACAGTGATAAATAGCTCTTTTTTTCCTGTACAGAAATATTGGCTTCAAAAAGTCAGTGTATTGTACTCAGTAGAGCATGTTGAATAATGCTACACCTTAAAAATTGGCTTTTTCGGTTAGTGATGTTAAAAAATGCAAGCCTCTTTCTGGTTTGCTGCAGTTATATGTACCATAAGACTGTATTGCACAAAAAAAGTTCTTAAATACAGATATAATTTATGTTATTGGATTAAATATTGCAACAACTACGTGGTAAGTGAAGCAGTTTTATCTTGCACATGCAGTGTGAGAATACACAAGGAGACTGTTCATAAAACTACAAATACATCATTGCAATTTTGACTGTAGTTGGGTGAAAGGAGTGTGAAACAAATGTATTTTGGCAAATCCATTGTTCCCCTCCCCAGGCATTTCAAGCAAGGAGGACCTTGGTAAAAATGTAGACAGAGACCATAATATGTATTTGTTTTCTTCACAGTAGCCTGAGTAGTGCTAAACTGTAGTTCTCCAGGAACTCAGCTCCAGATGTTACTTAAACTACTTTTCTTCCATCCCGCCCACCAAAAAAAAGGTTATTTTATTCAAAAATTAAAACTAAGTTTCAGAAGTAGAGCCTGTAATATTTTCAACAAGAGACTTGTAAATCTGAGAGTTCAAAAACCTTGGAAAAGAGTCTCTGTGCATGAGGGTGTATATCTGGAGCTGGGCATCTTCGTACATATGAGGACTGGGGTCCAATAAGTTTCTGTTGATCACTTCTCTCACCCGGGAATCAAGACTAACCTGAAGAAAATGAGAACAGACTAATATTAAGCAGTAATATTGGAAAGGCTGTATGCAGATATATGCAGATATTTATCTCATGGGGTTTCACAGAACATGAAGAGTTTATCAGTTTCTGTTTTGTGTTACCTTCTGTGCTTCTTTCAGGGCCACCAAAAGCAAAATTACAGGCTGAGTCTATCATCACCTCTGGTTTGGTTTCAGCCTGGTCACTGCATGCATCCTAAGTGCTCTCAGATGAAATGTGCTATATAGCAGCATAAATACAGTGCAAATAAGTTAAGCTCTGAGGTATCCTGGTTCTCCCTAAATACTTTATTTTACCATAAAAAGATTTGCTTTTTCTTACACACATACCATTTAAATAATTCTCGGGGGGGGGGGGGGATTTTGTATGAATTTCACTCAACAAGGTGATTTTTTTCTGGTCATTTGCAGCTAATTTTTCAATGCTTTCTATTCTTCATTCTCATTTTGATGTCATACAGATTTTTTTTTTCCCATTTTCTTTCAGGCACAGCACTTGTCACTCACAAATTAATTAAATTGTTTTGGTTTTGTGATAACATCTCCATTAATAGTAAGTGTCTCAATCTGTTCTTCCCTTTAAAACTTTTTAGGAAATGGTTACTCATTCTTTGAGGATATCATATATTCATATTGAAGTCGATATCAAGTTTGCAAAAGTCTGCCTTAGCACAGAAAAGTTATACTATGGTCATTTAAAGCAGGTTACAGTCCGGCCCCATAAATCTGCAACTATGTATATGAGTGATTATTTTGTCTGAAGGACTGTGTTCACTCCTGGAAAACCCCACATAGCAAGATACCTTAGTATGTGGAGGGTGCTAGCAGAGATGTTTAAATATAGAAAATTTAGAAGGTACAAGAAAGTGTGAGCTTTTGTGTTTATATTTGCAGCAAAACAATTTTTGAAATACACTAATATGGTATAGTTGGAAATACACTAGTATGGTATAGTGTTGAGTCTGCATAAGCTAGCTGCTTTTACACACAACAGCATGCAGAGGTTTTGTGTTCTGGTGGTTTTGAGAACCAGTGGTGCAACTCTGTGCTTTAGGAATTTATTTGAATAGCTTTTAACTCCAGACCAATGCATACATGTAGGATAAAAATGACACATTGAGATTTGGCCAAATCCTGCCCCTGTCCCTCTTCCATATACACACATGCACAGATGCCTATCTCAGCTAAACCAGTTCATGCATCTACCAGATTTAGCCTTTTTTATCAAATAGAATGGCAAAAGTATAAGGATTTTTTTTTTGTCATTGAATATAGTCAAAGTTAATTGCAATTACAAATGCAAAAATAATTAATTAGAGATTTATTAATTCACACTATGATCGTTCAGTGACTCAGTAAAGCAAGCTGGCAAAGTGAGTTGTAATTATTAAAGATATCTGGTTGGTAAACAGAAGTTTATGAGGTATCCGGTTGATATACAAAGGCTTTCTGCCTTGGTAACTTCATCACTGAACAAGGAATGTTATTTTTTTTCAGCTCTTATGCCAAAAGATAGAATATGGAATGGGATGTTGGGTTGAGCAAGAACTTTTCAGTTTATGTGCTCATGGAAAGGCTTGGAAAGAGTTCTTGTTTGCCTCATTTCCACTAGGAGCAGGGGGCAGCAAATTGACTGCAGTGAACCACAAGTCCAGTGCAGTAAGTGTGCGAGCTGCTTTGTCAAGCACTACATCAAAGAAGACTTTTGTAGTGTTACAGTTTTAACTAGTTCATGCTGGATTAGAAGGGTGACTGTGCAATTAGGGCATATACATGTATTAAAGATAAGGTAAGAAATACAGCAGTTAGCAGTTATCTCCAAATCAGTGGCACTAAAGAAGATAATGAAGTTATATATTGCCTTTGGATTCAATCATGTGAATGAATTTGAACACTGCTACAAAAAGCAGTGCCACGTTAAAGTGTGGAAGGCCAGATCTGCAGTGAACATAAATTAGCGTAATGCCATTGAGTAGAAAGTATGATGTAATGCATGGAGACAAGAAAGACGATCCAAAAGTGCTTGACATGGCTGAGGAAAGATTCTTCTGCCTGTTCCAGAACATGATTTCATAGGTAATATTTTTTATTCACTCCAGTAAAGACCATTTCAGAATTTCTCTCTTCCATTTTCCTCACTTACTGCCTGTCCTTGTAGGCATGTTCTGGTACTGAAGAAGAATGCCCATTCCCATCCCTTCTGGTTCTGGCCTTTAATCGCTCTTATGCAGCACTTGAGGAGTTAGGGTCAGAGAAGCTGAGTGGCTCAGCACTTGCGTCAACACTTTCTCTGTCCCTCTGTCTCAGTTTAACCTTCCACATGAGGAATTGCTCTCATCTGACACATCAGGCAGACCTAATGCCCCCCATCTAGAAATCCAATTAACGACATTTGTGCTTGGGAATAATGAATGTAATACTTTCAGCTTTACCTCTTTTGGTGAAAGTATAGAAATGTAATCTTCATATATAAGTCTCGCTTTTTCTTCAATAACTTTCTTGTTCTGTTCCTTCTTTAAATCTTCACATGCGAGCCAAAAGAGCAGGTTCTCTTCACTGTACTCTGTTCGAAGAAACTCTCTGAAAAGGTTCCTCCCAGCTGGTGTTTTCATCATCTTGTCAAAATTCTGAGCCCAAGACAAAATTTCATCTGCAGTAGGGTTTTGGCTGCAAAAGCAAAGTATCATTATAAATATGCTTCTATTTTTATAACACTGTTTTCATACATTTGGCCAAAAATTCTCCTTTCCTTTGCACTTTAGTCTAGAGTGAAAATGGGAAGCAATTCAGCTTCAGCGGTGACAGAATTTTGGTCACTCTTCACTTGTGCATTCATTATTCCAAGAACCCACTAAATGTGTTTCAACATACACTTTTTCTACAAATTTCTACTACTATTGCTAGTCATCTGACTCACAGAAAAATCCAAGAGAATTTAATTGCAGCTTCTGCAGTTAAAGGAGATGAGATTTTGGGAAACCAACAAAAGATTCTCTTTCATGACAGGTTTAGATGACACCTGATGTCACTTCTTGCATCTGATGCAGTTTGGCCAATCACTGCCTGCCACATAATTTTGTTCAGCAAGGACAAGAAAAACAAAAAGGCTCTGGGCAGCCAAGAGCATACTAATGAGGCCAAACAAAATACTAATTCAGAGAGCTTTTAAATTAGCATATCTTCTGTGCTTGTACCTAAGGGTTGCTAAGCTTCTCTCTGTTTGGTGCCATTGACCTGAATGATGATCTGTTGGCCCTGGATGCAGTGGATGCTGCTGGCTCCAGAGGGCTGTGCTGCCATTCAGAGGGACCTGGACAAGCTGGTGAGTCACTAGAGAGGAACCTCATGAAGTTCAACAAGGACAAGGGCAGGGTCCTGCACCTGGGGAGGAATAACCCCAGGCATCAGTACAGATGCATCAGAGCAGCTCCACAGAGAGGGACTTGCGAGTCCTGGTTGACAATAAGTTAGCCATGAGTCAGCAGTTCCCTTGTGGTCAAGAAGGCCCATGGGATCCTGGCTGCATCAGGAGGAGTGTTGCCAGCAGGTCAAGGGAGGGGATCCTGCCCCTCTGCTCAGCTCTGGGGAGGCCGCACCTGGAGTACTGTGTTCAGTTCTGGGCTTCCCAGTATTAGAAGGATGTGGAGCTTCTCGAGAGGGTCCAGCAGAGGGAAACAAAGATGATTAAGGGACTAGAAGATCTATCCTACGAGGAAAGACTGAGTGAGCTGGGCCTGTTTTCCCTGGAGAAGTGAAAGTTGAGAAGGGATCTTATCGGCATGTACAAATACCTGAGGGAAGAATGTAGGGTAGATTGAAAAGAATCTGCTAGAAGTGGATGGAAATGACAAGCAAAGAGTTCTTCCTGGTTATCCATTGGAAAGTTCTTTTAAATACAGTAAAATATAGGTTAAAAAAGATAGAGGATGAGGCCATTTGAATTGGGTTTAATCTACTAAAATGTCATACAACTGTATGAATTAAAAATTAATTTCCTGTTTATATTTCCTAAATACTAATTTCCTGAGGAGATTTGTAAAATAATAGATAATAATAATAATAATAATAATAATAATAGATAATAATGTTACATAGATGATTTTCAGGAAAGAATCATGTTCAGAATCTGAAATTTGATAAACAAAGCATCATTTCTCTCTATCTCATCTTGATATCAGGAAATAGAAGGCAATTCACTCCTTGTTCAAAGTCTTGATTACAATGAACAGAAAAGCTAGCCTGAACACTTAACCCAAACCCAAGTCTAAAAACCCAGGTAACTGTGGAGTAGTATTTAAATTTTCCTTGTTCCTAAGTGCATAAAAGAAGAGTTAAATTCTTAAAGAGGACCTTAGAAGGGCTAACCTTAAATGATGGATGTTAACTGCCCCTAACAGTGCATGGAACAGATACATTTCTCCATGGGTGAACTTCAGGTGCTCTGAGTTTCACTATGAAGGTATTAGTCTCTCCATTGTATTATAGAAGAATGATAGGTTATGTAGGATACAGTTAGAAAGAGAAGCCCAGACTTTAAACACATGCAAACTGATCTTTCGAGGTATGCACTTCCTTGCTTAATATAGTCAAAATAATAGTCCAGGCTATTTTACAAAGAGTTGCCATATTAAAAATCTGACTGTGATGTGCACATTTGCCCAAGTCATTTGTACCTCTGGTCTGGATAAGAAGAATAAAGTGATTTCAGAGTAAGCAGAAACTTATAATAGAGGCCCATATATTTATGGAACCACTCATACAGCTTCCATTGCTCCCCACCATTCTTTCCACACAAAAAAGCTGCTGTAAATTAAACTGGCTCATGAATGCACCTATTGACATTTTGTTACCAGGCCAAAGTTTCTTTCTTTTATATAGAAATTTCAGAAAGAAAAGTCATTAAAACACCATTCTGGAAACCTAAAACCGAGGCGAATAGATATGTATTATAGATAAATTGAAAACATATTTACTAGAAGACAACTTGAGAAGCTTACCATTCTTCTATGACTTGGATACTCTCCATTTTGGTCGTGTGCGTTGGCCTTCCTGCATTGTCTCCTCTATCTTCATTCCTAACAGTGAGGCTGCAATGTAGTACAACACTTTATTTTGTCTAGAGGAAGTTAATTTAAAACAACAGCTACAGTAATATAAAGTTTTAGAAGTTATAAACCTATGTAAGGTGTCATTATTTATTATTTTCTCTAAAATTTAGACCTACCGTTCAGAGAGAAAATGTTGATAACAATTTTTCCCTTAATTTTGCTGAATACTTGCGGATGCTGTTAGTATGTATAATTTTCTACAAGCTCACAGTTTATCCACCGAAAGACTGATAAAAAGATAGATGTCAATTTTGGAGTGATTTCCCTTATCAAACTGTGTATATTAGTAAGGGTATATAGGATAAGAATATCTGAATTAAACATTGAGGAGGCTTAATGTCACACCAGTTTTGGATTTTTTTTTTCATTCTTTTAGGAATATTATATTTTTTTTCTCTCCCAGGTATGATCACAGTATATGTCTTGGATGAAAACTTAGCATGTTGCAGTTCTGTATCATTTCCTCCTTTAACCCAAATTTGATTTTTTTTCATTCCAGTATATTAATTTTTCTGGCTTTTCAATAGAAGGACTTCTATTACTCTTATATTACCAAAAGCAAGGAAAAGAAAGACTTCCTTTATGTAAAGATCTATATTTTGCTTTTCTGCTATCAGTTATTTTTCTGTAAAGGCCTTTTTAATCACATTTCAGCTGGTAACAAGCATCAGTCATTTTTCTGTAAATGTTTTTTTAATCGTATTTACTTCACTGGTAGCTTTGTCTCTGTGGGCTCAGTATGAGTGCTCTAGAACACAGTATTAGCAGCAAAAACATTTATAGAAACACCATTCCTGATAACAACTGAAATACAAGCACACATTGTACTACCTACAGATTTCTATAGGAAACCTGGTTACAATAAATAAGCTTAAGAAGAGGAACAATAAAAAGAAAAGTCCCTCCACCAGTCTCAAGAGAGCTTATACTTTGAATATTAAGTGTTCATCAAATGTTGATGAATAAAAATATATTGATAGCATGAAGTTTTCTAAGGAATCTCAGTACCTTCCACTTAGCTCTAAAAAAAATCTCAGTGCTGGGGCACTGTTAACACAAAACCTTTTCTTTCTAGCTTCTCTCCATTTATGAGTTTTACTGAAATTCTACTGACTTTTTTTGTCATGTGTTTGGCAGAGTTAATAGGCGATCTCAAATACACTTTTTGAGAACTGACAATTTAAGCTCCCAAGTAAAGCAGAGCACATATTCAGACTTAAGCATTACAAAGATATACACTCTCATACAAAGCTGTCTGATACTGGTTGCTCCTTGACTTACCTGCCAAGACCTTAGTTCAGGCCCTTGGTCCTGCTTCCCCTGTTACAGCGAAGGAAAGCAGCTCCAGTGCTGCAAAGGTGTTAGGATGCCATCAACCGCTGCAGGAGAAACAATACATCCTGAACTCTGGGGTTGGCAGGTAAAAAGCCTTTCCGCCTCCTTTGATCTCTGGCTTGTCAGTCTATAGAGGGAGCACCCACCAGAACCAATGGGAGTTCCATATATAGAAGGAGAAAAAAAAAAGTAGGGACCAGGCACTTTCTGTCTTGTAATCTTTAAGTCCACACATGTAACTCCTCAAGGTCATTTTGCAACAGGTTGGAGTACAAAGCTGGGGTGAGGAAGAAGCAGGATACAACAAGCCTCTCTTCCTCCCTGCTCTGCAGTCCTTACACGAGACAGCATTCATATCCTCTGCTGGATACGGACAGATTAACGCCCTTTTGCTCCTTCAAAGAGTAACAGAATGGAAGCAGAAAACAGCTTGTGTTAGGTTGGCAATGTAAAAGGATTTTCACCTAAGGAAGTCCTTCCTGCAGGGCATGAAACCGCCTGCCTTCCCTGCTGCATGAGCAGCAGCTATGCTATACTGGGATGATTAACTGCACGCTACTGCTGCACTTCGGGTGCTTTTGGGTGCTTCCTCATTGGAAGCGGAAGGTGACTTGTCAGAGAGCAGTAAAACTACACTGTTTAATGTGATATCTGAGGTCAAACATTGTTTGTTTTGCTCTTCTAAACTTAGAAAAATCAGTATTTACTGATGAAGATGGAATTCAAGTGAATGACTACTGAATGGCAAGTAAAAGAAATAAGTGACAAGAAAGCCTTGATGATTTTCTTTCACTTCTGTTAAACCAGGAGAGTGGGCCTGAGTATTTTGCTTGCTTTTTGCAAGACCGCACTATGGTAGAAGGTTGTAACAGTGGCCTCTGAATATGGTATACAATTTTCTACTATATATATACCAGTGTGATAATCTGTAATACACCATTGTCCCTTATTCCTTCATTTCATCATTCGTAGTTTGAGTTCAATGGCTGAAAGTTCGCCAGCTTTGCAAAAGATAGAAGACAAAGGAAGCATTATACTTGGTTGGAATGATTTCTCAAGTACAGGTATTGTAGTCAGAGCTGTGCTAAATTTATCACACATCTTGGCCTAAACTCAGCATTATATTTCCAGTGACAAACAATAGCAGTACATTTCAACTTTTATTTATCTATATCTGTCAAAGACTGGAGTTCCATCGGATACATTACTTTTGCTATGTTTTTCCTGTGAAGGAAACCATCATTTTTATACAGAAATGCATTCAATTTAGACATGGTTCTGCTTTTACTCAGGGAAATAGTTCATGTTTGCTTAGGAAAAAAATTAAATATTTACACATTTTTGACTGCAAAGCTGATTTGAAAGCACCTTTAAATAACTCTGATTACAGTAACATTGCTACCTTTTACATCAAAAGGACAATACTTCATTGTTATTTTACTGTTTTGCTATCTTCAGTCAAAAATACCCTGTGAAGTTCACATATCTTAGTGGAATTCAAGCTGTCCATAGTGGCAAAAGCATTCTGAATTTCTTGAGTTAATATCCTTGATACATCTTGGAAACTAGTTTATTATGTCAGAAAAATTATGCTTCATGGTATAAAACTAACCAGACTAGAAATAAGACGATAAAAATCAAGTAAATAATGTTACTTGTTTGAGCTAGTTTGCCTTCTGAAGAAATAGTTAAATGAAAGTGAGTTGTTTTAGAGAGATATCTGATGTAAATTAACATATATGATGCCACTATTTTTTGTTAGAGTACAACTTGTTGATAGCTTTAGAATTTCTGAGATGTAGAACATCGATGATGAAACCACAGCAGTGCTAATCATACCTTGAAAGGGTGAGTTTGGTGTGTCTAAAGGCAGAGCTTAAACAGAACGCCCAAACAGTAGGTTGTGTTTCTGTCCCTCTAGAAGGTTTTTGCTGTTCATTTTTAAACCAATTTAATGGCACTGGAGAATATGATATTTGAGTAAGCCCAAGAGGCTTGACCGTGATGTGGATTTCAAATATATCTTTGGCTCCTGACTTCTACCAAAACAATAGCTGTTTTAACTACAGCAGCCACTATTATTTTGAGTAATTAGTTTTCTGTTTGGAACTTTGGGAATTATAAAGTAAAAATGCTTGTGACCAGGGACTACTAGACGAAGTATGCGAATTTTAAAAAGCCAACTACAGATAAAGTTAAACTGACACAGGTTCCTTGCTGATGTGTTTTTGGAGGAACCACAGGGATTCAGAAGAATGTCTATTTATTTAGCTACAATTCTTCAGCTGTTAATATTCACACTCAGCAACTAAATAGTTGTTCTGCTGAGTAACTATTTTGCTAAGTCAGTATTACAGTCACTGCTGCATGGCAAAGCAAAAAAAGTCGAGCTAATTGGGTAAAATCATCAAGAGAGTTATTTAAGAATGATTTAAGAGCAGAAGTCTCAAAGAATATCCCTCAAGGTATATCAGCCAGTGTTTTTAGTTGCTTGGAAAGCTACCTAGCATCCCTACTTCTACACTTATTTACTATTGCCATAAAGAATCTGAAAATTACTTTGAGCAGGGACATCATTCTACGTATACCCAGGACATGAATGGGCTTTATTGTTTCCCAGGGATTAGATTCTCATATATCAGTAGTTTAAATGTAGTGAATAAGTGAAATTACTTCTACTGGACATAACTACAGCAAGAAAACTGTGCCACCATATCAAGCAATAGGACACATATTCCACCCGTACATGGCTACCGCCAGTTACTACTTATTGTGGTGGTTTGGTTTTATTTCGTTTTCTGAGTTATGTGCCTCACCAGCATGTCATCACAGTGTTTGGTAATTTTATCTGGCATTGAAGAAAATATGTCAGTTAAAGCCTGTTCCCCTATGCACATACATACAATCTAGAGGCAGAATTTGGTTCTTTGGATTCAAATCACTGTAAGAACCTCTGGAAGAGAAATGTTCTGACATGTTTTTACCATGTGTATCTCACTTGGACTACTGTACACTCTAACTTACTCCTAGGAAGTTTAATTGTCATCAGATCAATAGACAGAATATTTTTAGGTCATATCTAAAAACCAAGGAGAGTTATTTTGATGACTGAGTCCAATGTTGTGTATAAGCAGGACACAGGATTGCCATAACTTAAATAATGTAGTTTAACAGATGTAGATTAAATGTAGTTTTTTAAAACTTCAAAGCAGAAAAGAAAAGGCTGTGTTTTTAAAATTCCACTGACAGATTAAATAATATGGCCCTGAACCTGAAAATGTTGACAAACTTGGTTGAATTTGCCAAGTAAATTCTGTTGGAAATAACTATTTTTAAAGGATATTTTAGAGGAAGAGAATTCCTGCTTTAAACCAGTACGCTAATGTCCTCATCTAGAATTTGAAACGTCAATGACAGCTTTCAAGCTGCTCTGCTGATGCTATTTCACTTAATAAAAATAATTGAATACTCGCAGAAACAAGAGACTCTTAATTAATGCTGAATCTTGGTGTGAACAACACTTACGTATTTTAAATGAGAAATGTATTATACGTCATTGACAGGAAGACATGAAAACAAGAATATATGATCAGATTATATGATTTTCCTGAACAGAGAATATAGTTTTGAATACTCTGAGATGA